AATTCTTTTCGTTTTGCTTCGATTTCTTCTTTTAATTCAGTTAATTTTGCATTATTCCGTGAAAATGTATTTATATTTTGTTGATCAGAATATTCAACATGAACTTCAACATCTTTTGTTGCTGACATTGAATATATATTTTCTATCTATTAATCAAACAAATAAGTTGAAATGAAATGAAATGATGTTTATATCATCGGTATCAGAAACATAAACAATTGGTTTATTTAATTTTAACCAATTAAATAACATTTATTTTAGAGTTAAATGAAGGCGACATCTGAATATGTAGTTATTAGAATATACTCAAAAGATTATCGATACAGACTTGTTATGAGAGAATTTTACATGAAAACAAGAAGGTTTCATAAGCTTGAGACGCGAATGTGAGTATAAATAATATATTCACACTCACACCCTCAATATTTATCCTTAACTATGTTCGCCATAGAAAGAAGAAAAATATGTATATACTCGTACATATTACAATCATTACCACTTCTTTTGTTTGATGGATGTCTCTCCAACAATTGAAACATATCGTATTAGAGACATCTTGAAGTACAGATTATGCACATTGTGTGAAACTATAAACAAAATACTCATTAACAACAGAAACTAAATGACATTCGTGAAGGGAAACATTTTTCATTGAGACTTATTACATAATGATCCTCGAAGTAATGACATATCTCATCATAGTTATTCGATCGTGAGTGCCTCTGATTATTGCATACACCTATTTGCATTTCTTTTATCTGAAACTATAAGTTATATATTAACACTCGTTAAGATTAAAACGATTTTGATTGGTCTCGTATATAAAATTATAGAACATAAGAATATCTAAATAATTTTTATTGCAAACGGACTTCTCCGATGCACGATTCGGCAAATAATCATATGGTATAACCATATCCAAAGAAGATGGAGCATGAATACCATACTCGTTGACTCATTATTAAACCATTGCCCAAAATGATTTCGTACCCGAGTATGTAACTATGTATTGTCTGATGATTACAATTGGGATTATGATCATATTCAATCGAGAATATATCCTATTCTGCAATCTTGAATGTTACGAAACCGGTTTCATCATCGGAATCAGTTCCACCGTCTTCGAACCTAAGAGAACTATACTGACGATTGATCCGGTTTCATCAACTATGAGCATTCCAGAAACTGAATCCAATTTCGAAATTAAGAGGCGTCCTTACCCCCACGCATACAAGGATCAGTCTATTGAATCAGCGCCTAATTCCGCGAATTGAGTCAAATCCGAATGATAAGGGATTCCTTCGAATTTCATTCGTCAGTGATCGTTTCTATGGTGTAAGAATGGTGAATAAAAATAGATAAGAGCAAGCATTTACTTATGGAGATATGTATTTATTTAGAAAAATCAAACGTCCTTGAATTTACATGTGTGTTTCATTACTGCTGTATTCTCACGCATTGACGAAAATAATTGTGTGCTTATATGATATTGCATTTTATTTCACTGATAATAATAATAACAACGCAATTGGAAGATGAGTAATATCGATATTGGATTGGTTTATTTTTCAAGTATCATGACATAATTTCCGAGAATATGTAAGTGAATAAATTTTATCTGATAAGTATTGTTTCGCCGGCAATATAAATATACAAGCAATGCTTCACAATTGTTACTACAACACATCTGAATATTTTTTTGATCTTATTCGACGACATCTAGTAGTAAGTTTCTAACTGATCATATACCTCAATTCGAAATCGAATAGTTTTTGAAACCACATATTTATCGTGTAATTTTAATCTTTTTAGATATGATTAAAATGCACAACACTGGAGTATGTGTCTGGACTAACGTTTGTATTGGCTTGGCTCTTCTATTCTTCGTCACGGTGGATGCAGATCCCACGAAAGCTTTCAATAACCCACTCAATGGTAGAGCTGTTGATTTATTTTTGCTCGTGGATGAGAATAACTCATATATGAGTGTCATGCAATTGGGATTAGTAAAAACCGCTCTCCAGAACATTGCCAATGAACTCAATCCTGTCGGATCAACTCCGTCTTTTGGAGTGTTCTTTTATGGGGCAACTTCATCAGTTAATATCGTGGTGCCACATCCAACCACTACTGCTTCAGCATTCAAAGCCAAGTTGGACCTGAAACAATATTCAATGATGCAAACGAATCCATCGACATTGATGACAGCTCTCGATAATGTAGATTCTGCTTGTCAATCAGGATGTCGACCAAGTGTACCAAGAGTGACTGTGGTGTTTTCAAGTGTTCTAGATTTAAAAGCGCAAGCGGCTATTCGTCGATTAGAAGCTGGCCGTGGGATGACGGTAATCATAGTTGGTATCGGATCCTATGCAGGCACACCCATTTTGAACCAGTTAGCTTCGCATCCTGTGCAACACTATGCGATTCCTATTGGAAATTTGTTTGAACTGAATGTTGTTGCTGCACACATTAGTTCTATAATCTCTGATGTACCACGTTTTCTGGAAACTAACATCAACGCTCCATTGGTCATAACGAGTATGTTATCTGGTATTTACTACACAGTACAACTTAATACACAAGAATACACAACCACAAAAGATGTGCTCGTTATGTTGACAACTAATTGCCCAGGTTGTTCCGTCTATGGATCGCTATCTGAACCAAATCCTATCAGTGCTAACACTGCTGCAAATCAAGACCGTCATAACTTTTATGCTGCTGGTGGATTTCCCAACAGCCAGTACTACTTTCATATCCCTAAAGGTACTGGTCGAATTTATCTCAGTGTCTTGGGAAATGGAATGGCTTCAGCCAATATTCTCGCCTATGTAATCAACTTACCAAACATGATGCAAGTTTCGGCCGCAAACGTTGATGCATCATCTCTTTCGGAAACGATTGGATAAACAATTTATAATTATCAGACAATTACTCTCTTCTCATATTCCTAGCAAAAACGTTTTTGGTAGAAATAAATATCTGTGACCATCTTCTTTTGCTCGATGTATCGAAAATAAATTCGTTTTCGCTAAAATTTTTAGAAATAAAATTTCTAAATTTCAGACAATCAGGATTGTATTTGACGGCAAAGAATAACGAATAGATCATAATACTCTCAATCAGCTTATATTGGAGTGAACTCTGTTTTGAGGAAGAACTAATAATGATCATGAGGATGTGAGTTTGATGACAAACGACAGATAAAACTAGACTTATTCACACCCACCCCTCGTAGTTGCTCTTTAGTATGTTAATCTATATATTCGTTATATTCGATAAACTAATTCCTTTTATGTTGATCTCTAATAGTAATATATTAAATTTTGTACAAGCACAAAAAGAATCCTTGATATAAACTCTGTTTATTATGGGACGAATCCTTTCTATTCATATATTTATTTTGATATTTTGAAATACATCAATTAAAAATTTTCAATCAATCCAATGATAAAAAAAATCGATCGCTAACGTCTAAACGATGGTAATTTGAAATGTTCTAATTTGCATTGGATTTAGATTGATTATTGTTGCATTCAACGAATTTTGGTCTAAAAAAAAGTAAGTGAGATATATATCATATCACTAGAAATACTTGTCAAGAAAATTGAACTTACGAAACATATCGGCATGTGATGATTCTTGATCCTTTGTCATCCAATCGAGTCGATGTAGTTCGGATACTGGTAAATTGGCAGTTAGGATTAATTCATTCATCGCACCAATGGTACCAATACTTTTAAATAACATTTGAAGATCAATCGTTGCCGCTTGTGAATAAGTTTTATCTTCGTTTAACTCAAAATAATGCTCAACACGCACAAGGTATTGTTTAGGACTTAACTGTTCGAATGTCAATAGATGTACATTTAGTGGCATTGCATCTGACAAAGCAGACCAACTTTGAAGATAAGTATTCGAATAGTTCGTATAAGATGATGTATTTGGCAAGGAATAGGTTGCCAGAGGTTGCATAAAAAACTGTTGAGCACCGACTCGATGTAGCAGAGCACTGTCTTCAGGTCGGTCAACAAGAAGAATATGTTTGCCGGTAACAACAAGACCTTTGCCATAGGCAGTCTCATTTAAAGGTTCACCAACACCGAATCCATCGTCATGTAGTATTCGACGATGAAGCATAATTTCGATCGAACCATCACGCATACTTCCACCACCTTCCGATCGATCTAAAAAAAACATTGGAAATAGTTCATCATTAGAAAAAATTCATCATACCAGTAAGAATAGTTAATTGACGATCGTGATCTCGAATCCAAATGCGACTATTAATCGGATAATAATTACCACTAACTGGTTCATCAACAACATAATGCCATGTTGGTCGATAATCACGAATACGTTGAAGTACTTCACGTCCATTAGCATCAGTATAATATGTTGATCCACTCTCAATATTGGTATCATAGAGAATAATTATCTCTTTGCCAATATTATCATCTACTGGAATAGGTCCAACTGTCCATTCCAGTTCAATTTGTAATGATCCATTAAAGAGACTGATTTCTTGACTAGCCCATTCGTTGAAAACTATTGATGCTTTTTGTACAGTATCTGTTTTCGTACAATTTCTAATCAATATAATAGTTATGAAAAGAATATTTATTAAGCGAAATTACTTACATACTACGTCGAGCACTTACAGGCACTGCTGTTGAAAAAAATGGTTGGAAGACATAAGCACCTGACGCGTGTATTTCTGGCAGCTCCTTATAGCCGGGAAAACCTGTAACCAAAAATGTAAGAAGTTCTTGATGATCATGATCTTTTTATATTTACTTGTGTACCAATACAAGCCTTGATGAGTGAATGATACGGTCAAATTCTTTTCTAAATTGACAATAGTTTGTAAATCACCTTGATCATCGAATACCACTCGCAGATGCTAAAAAATGGCAAATAATTTGTCGGTATTGAACAGCGAAATCTATGTCATACTTGATTCTGTAGAATACATGCTTGATTCTGTGTTGTTGTCACTTTCTTATGTTCGAATTCTTTTGTATTAGCTATGACAGATAAATTAGATTTCTCAATCATTCTACACTTAAACAATTACTATCAAGTTTTCTTGAACTGAAAACTTGACTCATTAACTTCCTAAAATTTTCAATCCTTTTTTTATTAATGAAATCGTACTAAATTTTTCAATTTAATTGAAAAATATCATCTTCTCATCAACTCCTTTTGTAAGCAAGTTAAGTGGGAAATTACTTTTCGCTTCGAAATAATAGGTATTATAACCAAGTGCAGGCAATGATGCTTGAAATATATGTTGATACTGAGCAGTACTGGTTCGACCAGGAATATTCTTCGTCGTATCTGGAATTGGAAGATACTACAAGCAAAAGAGATCAATCGTTACTTTTCTTTTGTCATCGATTCTTTATCTACCTCAGCTGAAATAAGATTGCCTACAGGATCACGAATTAAATATTGTTGAGTGACAGGTACACGAGGATAAATTGTTACTGGATGAATAGTTGGATTCCATAATGTCAATGTGAACTATGAAGAGAATCGAGATAGTCGCTCATATTTTATCTGATAAATATAATTTTACATACTTGCTTCTGCCCTTCAATCGGAAGACATTCACTAATATTCGAGTACGAACAGAGAAATTGATGGGGAATCGATGTTGTTTGACCTTCTTTAGGCAATAGTTTTGCATAGGCATCATTGATCACTTCCTAAAAAGAAATTATTTCAAAATTCTTAGTCTATGTGTTGTAAAACATACCATTGATCGGTCGATACCTTCAGACAATCGTTGAGCATAATCATTAGCTACATGCTGCTTTTCTGTTCCACTAACTGCATCATGATGTTGAGCAAGACCCATTGCTTCGCCTATGTAGTACGAGTATCGATCGATAGATCGAAAGAATATGTGTTTCTCTTACTTAAAACAAAAGTGATATTGCGTTGATTGTTTTGTGAGAATCCATCGAGCTGACGGATTACTTGAAGAATATTATTTGCATAACGTTCATAACGTTTCAATGCTGGTCGTGAAGTAAAATAACCAGTCCAGTATGCAAATGGAACACTAGCATATGGAAAGAAATCATCGGTTTTCGTTGTCCATTCTTTTTCGGCTTTATTCAATGCATATAAATAACATGATGGAGTTGAATAAAAAACATTAACATTGCTACCATTCGCTTGCTGATTATATTATTATGAATGAAATTATATAAATATGTGAATATGACATACCTGAAGATTAACATAATGGATTAGTTTGTCCAAATTTTTAAAATTCATATAGGCATTCTGATTTTGAAAATCACTACCCATCGTCATGATCACATGATTAGTTGTATATATTTCAGCCTAAAAAAGACAAAAAAAACGTTTTGTGAGCAGAGCGCGTCGCAGAGATGTCAGACAAACCTCAACGTTTGCCGCAACAAGAAATGCTGCAACACGTTCTGGTATATTATAGTCTTCCACATTTTCATCATCCTAGAATAATTCAATTTGTTGAGAGAATAGAGATTCAATAAACAATAGTATACAATAATTGGTGGATCCGAGCACATCATGTCATAACAAAACGTGGGTGGTGCACCGTACCCAGTTGGTAGAACACCTGTGAAGAGCCAACTCTGACGATCTACGCATATATGAATGTGAAATTTTGAGAATTCAAATAAGAGCACACACTAACCTAAGTTGGCACTTCCTTTCCAGATCATTTCTAAAGTTCTTGTCTCAATTCGTTTTACTCGATCTTGAAAATCAATACGTCCAAAAAATAGCCCATCGAAGCCCATCTACAAACAAATAATACGTATATGAAAGATGAATTTCTTAAAATATCTGTAACTTGTGCAAATAATGAAGCAACTTCTCGTGAATGACCAAATGGATCGATCTGCCAGCCAATTTTTGGTCGAGCACAATCACCGAATTGATCATGCAAGAATTCAGCACCTAGAGTATGTTGATCGATAATCGAATTGTAATGCGTTGCTGCCTCATCATGCATAGACCAACCACCCGAAATAAATTCCAAACGACCTATAAAAAGATTTAGATGTGTCAATCTAATTAAAAGTAGAGTATTCAAGTTTTATTGACACGAACCTTCGTTGACGAGTTGCTTAACGGTATTATGCATATCTTCCGTTTGTTGATTCCACCAACGCCAAAAAAAAGCCATTTCAACATAGATGAATCGACGATCAGGATTATCTACTAATGCTGCGATAACTGAATCGAGAATATACTGAACACCTGGTTTACAGATTTCACGACGTGCTAAATAATTAATTGATTAAATTATTAAATATCATCATGCAGATCAATACATTACTTACATCCATAATAGTACTGATCGACTGTTTTTAGCCAACCAACATCGTCGTGTGTATGAGGTACAATATGCACATTGAGTTTATCAGGTTTACCCAAATTGCATGACTAAAATATGAGTATAAGTCTGTAGAATCCTCTAAATTGATACATGTTCCTTACATCATAACCACAACTATTTGGTGGCTTGTACGGCGCCGCAAGACTTTGCGTCACAAGGAACAGAAGTACTGCACAGAATTTTATCATGTATATGACCTATAAATCTTAGTTATATCATCACAAATAAAGTAATGGTAGCAAGCTTCTTACTTCAGACGATTGTATATAAAGAATAAAAGGTGTGCGTGTATGTTTGAAATCCAAAGAAAAGAATATTGTTTCTCGACGACCTATCGTTTATATTCAAGGTAGATGTAAAATGATGATAAGAGGTGTTCTCTACAAGCTGTATCATCATTATCTTTGTGCTGCTGGTATATGATGAAATAGACAAAAACCTTCTATTTTTATTATGTGCAATTTTTTTTATAAATTGATTTGAGAATCAGATCATTTTCATTTTCTTCACAAATCATCTAGTTTTTACTATAGTATTTATCGAAGTAAGATGGGTATGATTGTTGGTGAAGAAGACATCTAGTCGCCTACATTCACACCCACACCCTCAAGAAAATTGTTTCGATTTATTGAGAGCATGATTATTTCGCCTTTACCTGTCAATTATTTTTACTAGAATGATTTGATCAAATAGTCAATATTTATGTCACGATAGAACAAATACCGCAAAAGAATATTATACTAATGTTTTCTTGTAATACATATTGAAATAAATTTTGCCATAGTTGATCGCTAAGTAATGGCGCTGCTTCGCACGACATGTTTTGTGCTCCGTCCGATGCTCGTTCTGTGCACGTGGATGACTAAGCAAATGATTGTTTTATTTTCTACAATACCTCATGTTACTTTCGTTACCCATCGCTGTTGTACAATGTCATGCCCAAATAATAGAGAATTCAGAGAGCGAGAGAAAAGATATGTATAGAACACTATAAATATATCAATACGTGTTTCAATTGTCATCAGCATGACTGTGATCTGAATACTGATCAACTCGAATTATAGTCAACTACAAATACTATATCATATGCCTATAAAATGAAACAATCTGAAAACAACCTCTAATCTATATAAATTTTATATTCTAGTTATCGATCTTCTCCAGCAACCAATCACGACAAACAGTATCGATCAATGACGAACAAGGAGGAACAATTGGAACTTGCGAAGTTAGCTGAACAAGCTGAACGGTACAGTATTGATTCGCATATAGTATATTCGATCCAGTAGTATCAATTTTTATTTAGATATCATGATATGATGGTTGCTATGAAAAAGGTCGTTGAAACGAATAGTAACTTAACGGATGACGAACTCAATTTATTCTCGCTGGCTTACAAGCAAGTTATCAACGCTTATCGATTATCTTGGCAAACTTTATCTAGTATTGCAGAAGCAAACGAAGAAGGTTCCGAACTTCAACAAAAAATAATCAAGGAATATCAGAAAAAGATTGAAAAGGAACTGAAAGATGTTTGTCAGGAACTTTTAGTAAAGATTTCTATACAATTAAAGATCATTGTAGAAACAATATTCACTAATTTAGATCTTACTCGATAAATATATTAAGCCGAAAGCGAAAACAACTGAATCACAGATATTTTATATGAAAATGAAAGGTGACTACTACCGATATTTGACTGAAGTTACGACCAACAATGAACGACAAAGTAACATCTTGATTTATATATTCGAAAATACATATTTGTCGTGACAATGTGGATGATAGTGTTAGCTGAAGAATCAGAACTTGCCTACAAGAATGGCTTCGAAATGGCTAAGAATCATATGATAGCAACAAATCCAATCCGACTTCGTCTTGCTTTAAATTTATCTATCTTTTATTATGAAATTCTCGATGAAATAGATGTTGCCTGTCGCTTAGCCAAGGAGGTTAGGTCTATATGATGTATTGATATCTCTTTATTTGCTCAAATATTTATGTCATATAGGCTTTCGATGACGGTCTGGATGGATTGGCTATTCTCGATGAAAATGCTTACAAAGGTAGAAAATAAAAATTATCCATTGTTATAAATTATATTCAATTCAATTATATTCTTCGTTCATTTTCAGAATGTACTCCAATCATACAACAACTTCTAGACAATCTCAGTGTGAGTATTGTTGTATCCCAATATTCTTTATAGAAAAACTTATCTTTACATGAATGTTTGCAGTTATGGACTGATAATAAACTTGATTCCAACAATCCAAATAAATCCGACAAATAGTAGTAACTATAAATAGAGATCTTTTTCTTTTTATCATTTTCTAGTTTTTTTACTACATATCTTATAAGTATCCAATTTGATAATAAAAAAAACAATTTCCGTATCTCTTTTTCATTGATAGCAATAGGACAAAATGTATGATATATGGATCTTAGTCTTTTCTCGATAGACAATTGTTCACTTCTCATATATAGAAGAAATTGTTTTCACGTGAAATTTCAATTTATGTCATCTGTTCAATCGCATGGCATCTACTATTTTCTCTCTATTTTTTGCGCTTTTTTTATGCAGAAATCTGACGAGTGCTTATTCTTTTCATTATTTTTAAGTGCAAAATTCATTCTTTCAATTTATATTTAATAAAGATCGAGTTATATGAAAAGCAAGAATTGAAACAACTATATTAATGATTTTTATTGAATATAATATAGGTTAATTGATTTTTCGATCTATCTGTCGTCATATAAAATAATGATATTTTCATTGCTCTTTATTCTATACAACGTACTCTACTGTCTTATTTCACTTATGAGAAATAAACTAATTGAATTGAAGCAAAAGAAAAACATAAATATATATTTCATTTCATTTGATTTTCGTTCGAGCACGCATATGACTTCATTATAATAAAAAATAAAAAATATAATCGAATGTGTACGTCATTTCAATATTAATTCAGAAACTATAAAATACACTCAGATTTTGAATAAAGAAGGACACAGAATCTAAAATCATAATATACGATTCATTCATTTTTCTTAAATCATCGCAAAGACGACAACTCAATATAGTTATGGGAATAGTGAAAGTACATTCGGCTAATCAACATCAACGTTCATCATATCGTCGAAGAAACATTCGAAAAACCGTAAATAACAAAATAATACTTTCGAATTAAACTTTTTTTTCCTAGGCATCGGTCAATGTCATACGTATTAATCATAATCCGTCTCGAATAATACATTCTGTCTCACCTACTAATCGTATAGAACAGGTTAGATATGAAAATTAATTAAGAACGCGTCAAATTGTAACTCTACCGAGATGAAAATACCCGTTTCTTCTTATAGCGATTGTTCTAGACGTATTTTCTCATTTTATTTGTACTTAGGAAGTAACAAATGATCCATCTACTAAAGAAATCATTGTTTTGACACCTACAAGTGATAGACGTTTAGTATGGTCCAAAGTGAGTCTCAATTTACTTTTTTTTACAGATATTCGGTATGATTTCTTGCCTTCTTTTTATGTGTTTGTACAGGCATTCTCTGCTACTAAGTCCTCTGATGTGAACCTTGATATTGAAACATCATCCAATCTAGCAAAATCGGATCTGAGCAAACCCTTGAACGACATAACGTCAGTAACAAAACATAAGAAGGAAGAGAAGCGAAAACATCGTCGTCTTCGTCGGTGTTGTCCCGCTTATTCTAATTGCTGTTGTATCTGTTTGATTCTTCTACTTGTATTGCTCTTAGCTGGCCTGGCTGCTTTACTTGTTGCTCTCCTCGTAAATAAAGGAGGCACGACTACGACCACCACCAGCACAACATCCACTACTACCACTAGCACTACAGCAACAACGACGACTAGCAGCAAGTTATTCTTTGATATACATTATAATTGTTTTTTTTTGTTTTCAGCTACAACTACTAGTACAAGCACGACGACAACTACTACAACCAGCACTACTACATCAGCTACAACTACGACTACCAGTAACTTATTCTTTGATATTTATCATAACTTATTTTTTATTTTATTTTTGTTTTTGCAGCCACAAGCACCAGTACATGTTAGTTATACATTCTGTATCATTATGGAAAAGTCAATTTTTGCCACGGATAGTTTTACAAGCTTAAAGATTTAGAATAGATTAATAAAGTCAATCGAGCTCGAATAGGATAAAGGAAAACATCTTTCCATTGATTTTCCTGGAAATATATGATGAGGTTGAGTTAGTGAGTTGTATGCATTCTTTTACACCTGTTTATTAGAGGTGGTGCGATAGAGATCTCTAAACTTCTAGAGAATATCAAATCCGTCGGATTGTTCTCGAGCAATACTCCATTCCGAGATAACCTCTCTATTTAACTTGATTTATGATAACAATATCTGAGATCATTTTTTGTGCATTGATATACATTGAATGGTATCATAAAGGTATTTTCAATATACTATATACATATATCCACCCTATTATCGTATCCTGAAATTTTGGAAAACTATTCATGGTAAAAGATGACTTTTTTCATTCTTGATTCGTAGCTTCAACGTCAACTAGTAGCACTTCGACAACATGTAAGCTTTTTGTACTTCGACTATCTGCATATATGAAATATATTTTCTTTGTTCGAAGCGACAACAAGCGCAACGACAACAAGTAAGCACTATGCCTTAACACCTCAATTTTTCTTTTCTAAAATATTTGAAAAAAACAAAACTGAATTCAATCATTGTTCTTTGCAAAAATATATTTTTCTTTTTCTTGCAGCAACTTCAGTAACATTCACGACAAGTAAACTATTTTCTTATCTTGATGTGTATATTCTTTATTTCTTCTATGAATCTTTGTTAAACAGCAACTACTCCAATGCCACCATGTACCCCAGTTTCTGTTGGCTCTTCCAGTAATCTTTTATCAGCAACGTCCGGTGGGTCTTCATATACGTGTTATGCATATGCATGGACACCACTTACTACCGGCACTGTTACTCTTACCTTTTCACTTCAACATAATCCTGCTTATTGGTTTTTGGATGATGTATCGGTGTATAATGGAGGTACTGAAATGCTAAGTAACGGAGGTTTTGAATCAGGTTCATTCGCACCCGGTTGGATCAAAGCCGCTCCGACTGGCTGTGGATCAGGAACAACAGGATATATTAGTTCAACATACCATCGCACTGGCAGTTATGGTTATGCGGATGGTTGTAACAGTCACACTGATCAACTCAGTCAATCATTTGTAGTTACAGCAGGACAATCATATGTTGTCAGTTTTTGGTTAAAATCTGGAGGGACTGGTTCTGGAATATCAATTTCAGTTGACATTTCTTAATTTATTTAAACACAAAATCATTAATTAATTCAGTTCAATTCTTTTCTTGACTCACTAAATATCATCAAAAAAAAGTTTTCATTTTTTATATGTGTGTTATAATATAGAACCACTCAATACAAGAAAAACAAAGAAATTTGAACTAAAATATTATCTATATAATCTTATTACAGTAATATTTTCTTCATCATATATTTTTTATATTACAATTTCAATATTATTCAATTTCAACAATAATTTTTACAATTTATGATAAAACTTAACTAGTCTTAACTCAAGAACTAATATGATGTTAAAAAAAAGAATGTTATCAACATTTTAATATTGCTATAAATTATGATTTTATTTTAATAAACTCAAATTCAATGTATATCTATTAAAACTATAAATTTTTCTTTTCTGAAAATTGTATAAAAGCAATATATAGGATGGTGCAGGAGGCGTTTTATCGAAAATAATATTGAATAGCTCCATTACGGTTCGAGCAGACGAGCTGATTTTTTTATCAAGAATATAGACATGTTCATTTTTCAAATCTATACGATCAATGTTAATGAGAGCCTTTGTTAAGTATATTGTTTTTATCTTATCTGTGGAAAAGTAAATTTTCGTTCTGATGGTCAATAGTGATACTTAATTGATGTTCTCATACTAACCTTGATCGTATGGTTTTGAAATGTGAATATGCCTCTAACATTGACAAAAAACTCAGCTCGTTTGCTCGAATCATAACGGAGATACTGAATTTCACGCCTCCCTGTATATAGATAAATGCACACAAAGATATTACATAATGTTTGTCTTGAAATAGTTTCGGACAAAAACAATTGCCGATTAGTTAAGAGTATGAAGAATAAAGTCGTATAAATTCACTCATTTACTAATATTTTTTTCGTTCTTTCAGTGATGTGTTTTATACATTGACTAGAAAATACATATAGATAATCATTTGTTTAACTTTCATCACTTCCCACTGTCATCTATATCTTATCAGTTTGTTCGTAACTTTTTATCCAATACTTTCTCTTTCTATTGTCTCTTATACTTAAAGTAAAATGGATCTCTATCTCTCTCTTTCTTTTTATGCACATCAATCGGATAGTTTTGAAGTTTTGTTTGATATGTAGAGTTAATCTAAGTAAAATATCTTTCTTTTCAATTATTTTTTTTTCGTATTTATTTTAGCTAAAAAATGTTAGTTACAAATCCCAGTATCATTGAAATGTTTCCTGTTGAATTATGGTTAGACATTTTTAATTATTTCAACTCAAATGATCTATGGCACTCATTTCATGGTTTAAATAGGAAAATTGATGCAATGATTGAGCAAACAATATTACATTTAAATTTTGAAGAACAAGACAGTTATTATTACTTTATGAAAAATATGTTACCGATATTGAATGTTGCCAATGTTCGATCATTAAAATTACAAGAACCCATTGAAATAATTGATTTTTTCTCTACTTTTCCTCTTAGTTCATTAATACAACTTCGTTTTTTATCATTAAATCTTCTATATTGTTCTGGTGATTCATCACTTAAACCTTGGAATCAACTTTCATCATTGAAATATCTACAATCATTGAACATTATGCTTTGTCGATCAACAGGCGGTTTTGATAATAGTAATGAAGAGAAGGTATTGATTATTCATTCAATATTCAATCAAAATTTTTGCCCATTATTAAAATCATTGATCATCACATCGGGTGAATTTGCACGCGTTACTTCACTTCCTTTTTCAATGACAACACCTAAAATGACTATTATCGAATATCTATCGATTGACGCATTATATTTTGAAGATTTAATTAAATTACTACCTGCTCTACAAAATGTGAAATCATTTCACATAGATGACGGATTACACGTTAATGATATGATTGATATACAATCGAGGAAAATGATCATTCGAACACCATTAATGCCTAAGTGTATTCGTCTACATTTGAATTTAGAAATGGGTACAACTTTTAATCATATCAAATATATATTAAAGCATACACCAAATTTACAAGGTTTATTTTTATCGATTCGCCCGAATTTACTTATTGCAAAAAGATGGGAAAAATTATTATCATCAAAATGTCCGAACCTATTGAAATTGGAACTTACATGTACTGATTTTATGTATGGGGATTATAGTGCAGTTGTTTATGAAAGACTAGAAACTTTTGAACGCGAATGTCAAACACCATTTTGGATTGAACGAAATACTACAATTTCATATGTTCAAGGCTATGATCATGATAATCATATAGTTCGATTTTATATTACTAAAGTGAGTTTTATATGAATATTAAGAGTAGACCTTTAGTTATTTTAAGTCATCAGAAAGATATCTTTCTGATGACTTAAGATATTTTTTAGTAAAATTTTTAATTGTTAGGTATGTATTTATACAAACAATTGAGAAATCTTGTAAATTTAAATATCATTATATAGAAATTATAAAAATCTTAGTCTTAACTCTTAAAAGATTTCTGTTACCTTTTCTTTTCTAACGATCAGACAGGACAGAGCAAAAAAAAGTTTTTTATGGTTTTTATACAAAATTATATATATATATGTAGGAAATCTAGTAATAATAATTCTCTTTTACTTTTAGACAAAATAATCAATGGAATAGCGTCGAACATTAAAATGTGCAAATAAAACGTGTTTGTTCTTCATTGCATATATTTTCGGTTTCTTTGTTTCTTTTTCTTTATGCAAGTTTAGTTGTTATTTTTCTCTTTTTATTTTTTATTTTCTTTGGAGTGTGCTATAGCAGAAGCCGGTTCAAATTCTACAATTATGTTATACGGATGAAATAAACAATATGTAGTTTTAATTCTAATAAATTATGTTTCATTTTACACAGACTTTATATTAGGTTACGGATTATATCCTCATTAAACATCTTCAGTCACATCACATTTTTCGTTTAGTATCGATTCAAGATGAGTTTTTAGGAACATTTTACTTTCCCCTACTCATAAGGTATTATTTATTTGAAGAAATGCATATGAAAAAGATAGTCAAGATGTTAGTAGTTGTTACAATAATCTAGCTCTTCTCTATTCCAATGACAAGAATTACAATGAAGCATTGGATTATCATCCTAAAGCTTGAACTCTGAAAGAAAGGCTTCTTCCTTTTGATCATGATACAGGTATATTATATTTTCTTATTATTATTCAAAAAATTATTATTGTGAAAAAGCAAAGAACATATAAATACACATCAATCGAATAAAATTATATCTCATAATTTGGATACGATCATGTTACCATCAATTCATTTAGTTTTTTTCATACGAAGCAATTGAATATAAGTTAAAGTAAGAAAACAAAACAGAATACCACCTAGTGCAACAAAATTCTTCCACAAATCCCAATTAGTTGAAGAATCAATATTTTGTTCTTTTAATATATCTAAACCATCGATGTCACATGTATTTGTATCATTGGGTAAACAAAGTTTCAAACCAGTAAATTCATTAATAGCAAATATATTTGATGCATATCGAAAAATACTTATCCATTTTATCCATGATAAAAATGAAGTGACCGATGTAATTTCTACAAGAAATCCACTAAAAATTAATGTTAAAACACAAAACATAGCTGCCGTTAAATTAGCAACACCTAAATAAATAAAATAAAAAGATAATAATAAAAATCTAGGAACAAATCAATTACTCACCGTAGACTTCAACACTAGCCGACACAACAAAACATAAAGACGAAGCACTAAGAGAAGTAATATAGATACCAAAGAAGAAGATAAAAAATTTTGCAACTGTCCGTTGAAAACCTATCATAAAATAAGCAATTGCTGAAAATAAAATCGCCGGGATAGTTCGTAATGGAATAATATCACAAATAAGTTTAGCTATGAAATAAGTTGAGACATGATAATATCCACTGACATTTTCATGTTTAAATAAAGGACGTTCTTTAATAAATAGATCAAGCGCTGAAAGACTACCGAAAACTTGATTTGTTACCATAAAAAAGATGGCACCGAGACGATTTTTAACACCAATATTTAAAGAATGATCCATTTGAATGTAAATCAAACCGATAAGTATACCCAAGAAAATCGATACACCTGTTTGCATACCGACAAGTGCTGGATTTCGAAATGTATTACGTAGTGTTCTTTGTGATACATAGAATATTTCTGATAGACGGGATTTTTTTGGTGATTTTGGTGTAGTATCAGGTAGTGTGGGTGAGTTTCGTGGTGAAGGACATAACTCATTTATCTGTTGTTTGATTGCAGTATATAATGTTGATTTTGTATAAGCATTATGCAAATAATTAACTATCTGTGTATTTTGCGGATCTGAATCGATTCCATCAAGTATATTCGATGAGGAATGAGTTGGTTGATAATCACCTTGACATACATCGAGAAGAAAATCAGCCGGATTTTCATGTTCTTCACATTGAAAGCCAATTGAAGCAAAGAATGGAAGAACATCAGCAGTTGGACCATGATATATACAGCGTCCTGCACCTACTAGAAAGAGAGTATCGAATAGTTTAAAAATCGAATACCGAGGTTGATGAATCGAAAAGATTATTGTACCTTTTAAAAAACAAAATAAGAAAATAAATAAAAAATATGATCTATAATAACATCTTACGCCCTTTTCTTGATAACTGATGTAAATATTTCATAACATTTCGAGCCGTTGATGAATCTAAACCTAAAAAAAACATCAAATGCGTGTTTTGTTTGGACAGATCAGTCTGAAAATTTTGATATTGTATATTATTTACCTGTTGTTGGTTCATCTAAGAAGAGAACTTTAGGTGAAAGAACCAATTCCATACCGATATTCGTTCGTCTTCGTTCGCCACCAGAAATACCTCGTTTCATTTCATTGCCAACTTTCTGATCAGCACATTTCTTCAAACCTAATTGTTCAATAACTTCATCAACAATGGCTATCTTGTCATTTGACTTAACATTACGAGGCAATCGAGTATTAGCTGAGAAGATTAAATTTTCTCGAACAGTTAAATTACTACTTATAATATCATCTTGAACAACGTAACCAACTCGATATTTAAAATCTAATGTTTGCGGTTGTCCATCCATAAGAACTTGTCCTCTAAGACCATGACGATCTTTTCGATCAGCTAGAATATCTAAGAGAGACGATTTACCACTACCTGTGGGTCCAAGAATTGCATTCATGCCAGGTTTAAAAATTCCTGATATATCGGAGAGAATTTCTTGGTGTTTTTTCTTTAAACATGCTACCGGTATACAGTTACAGCATTTTTGAGAATTTAAAGTATAATAGATTGAATGAAAACTAATGACTGAACCATGAGTATGTCCATCGTCGTTATTTGCTGATTTTTTCAATACCGCCCCATTCTCGATGTCCATAGATAAAATTTGGTGATTCGAATTTCTGAAAAGAAAAGGTAAGATCTATGTTTAAATACGCAAACTTCACATGTACTCATATTATCTTCTAACTTCATCACTACATAAATCAAATTTTATAAAGTCATATTATTACCTTCCATTAAGTACCTTAGAGTAAAAAATATCATAGTGAATATAAAAGTGTTGTAATTGTGTTATATAAGAGCGACCGAAATAAAAAAAACTTTTATTCGTTCTTGTTGTTTTCAATGAGAATGACAAACATTTAAATAGAAATATCAAAGGATGATATCTCGTAACAACCATACGCAGACGCCGTTCTTTTTTCTTTCTACTTTAAGATCAAGGACAATATTTGTTGTAACGAAAAAGTGACTGATAAGCTGTCACTTACATAACAAGTATAATTTTACCAAATAATACGATGACTAGTACTCAAAATAATGTCAGTTATTTGGCTTTAAAAATATATTATATAATAGTATAATCTGAGAAATAAATCGAAATTAATCACATCAAATTTTGCCAATTTATGGTTTGTCAGACTGACTATTAATTGAATTAAATATGATAGATTTTCTATGGTAGATAGTATTTGTATCAAAACGTTGTTTTATCTCTTAAATTGAGCGATAGATATTATATTAACGCTATTCATATCTGCTTAAGGGTGTGGGTGTGGATAAGATTCTGCATTAGTATTCTCACCCACAC